TCTCTCATCTTTTTAAGTGGGAGAACTTGCACAATTGGTGGCTGACTATATACTTTTTTGCACCACTATATATGGTACTAACAGCTCTCACTGTATGTGGGCTGCTGCATCCTGCAGCTTCTGGGTAGTCTTCAAAGGCAGCCCAATGTAAATTGCATTGCAGTAATGAATCTGAAAGGTGAGCTTATGAATAAAGATTGTCAGGGTATCTTGCTGCAGACACCCCTCCACCCCTTGGCAGTTGCTATAAAACTAGGACCACCCCTAAGTCATGGACCAGCCCCTTCAGGGTAAGTGCCTCTCCATCTAGAATGATCATTAGAGCAAGCACAGTGTCACCTGATTTCTGAACAACTAGTACCACTGTCTTGCAGGGATTTCATCTCAGATTGTTTTTTCCCATTCAGACCAGTGCAACCTCTCAATACTGTGTCAGGACTTCCCCTACCTCCCTAGCTGTAATGGTACGTGGGAATGATCTTGGGAGACAGAAGGAAGAGCTGCAGAGAACAGTCATGTAAAAGATACGTCAGTTCACAGAACAGGGAGAGGCGGGCGTGGGAAGCGTTTCAGAAGGGACCCTCCCTAGCTTTCCAGAGAGTAAAAGGAGAAGAGGGGAGAAATACTTTCTGTCTTGCAAGATTCTGTTAATGTATCCTTACAATAAATATAGAGTTAGTACTCATAGTTGTGCTTCTTGTCTGGGCTATAGTAACACTAGCTTAATAAGGAGTGATTATATATACTTGGGTCTCATCAGTACTGATCAGACTGCATCCCAAGTCAATGGATTATGTTCCCTGTGGCTTCATGTAGATATTGAGTAATGGGAAGAGATATGTCACTAGCTTACAAGTGAGTAATTGAACAATCTCTCCTCCCTATTACCAATTTTGTCTCCTTTCAGGTTTCTAACTGACTTTTAAATGCACTGCATGAACTCGGCCACTGTGAAGCTGCCTAGATGAGACAGAGCAGAGCAGATGTATTGGTTACCAACTCTTGCTTACTCAGCACAGCAGATCTAATACTACTAGTCATTGAGCTGAAGGCTTTGCATAACATACTTTCTGGATCCAGATTCAGGTAAAGGTATCCATTCCTAGCCCAAAACCAAAAACACTTATATTAACAAAATTAATTGGGATAGGCCCAATTTGAAGTGCTTGTAATCACTTATAAAGCACTATACAAGGGAGCACTGGGATACAACAGACACCATCATGCTAAAAGCATTTACTGTACAGAAGGCCTGCTGGGAATCTTCCCAGTAAGAAATGCATTGGAAATTGGCTAGATAACAGACCTTTTCTGTTATAGCTTCACGTACTGGAGCACTTTTCTCATGAAGGTACATTTGGCCCCTTCTCACATTCTACAAGGAAATTAAAACTGGCCCAACTTGATTGTGGGTGGCTTATCTTGGGTACATATATGTAATTATTCATTTTTGTATATTATTTTGTTTTAGTCACTTTTTTGTTCACTTCCTGATGTCTTAGTCAATTTAGATGGTCTAGAAATATAAAAATAAATAAAATGCACACGATGCATCCCTCATCAAACAGCATTTTTTGTACGTTTTAGTTTCCTATTAGACATATAACATACCTTTCCTCTTAAATAGCTAGTCAGTTGTAAAATACTTGGGCAATATGGGAGTTGTTCTCAAATTCATGTAGCGCTATTTGGAATGCATTAATAGCATAAAATCTTTGAAGAATTATGCTGCCATCTACAGCAGAAACTGCCTCAACTTGATCCATTTGGGAAAAGCAGCAAATGATTCATCCCAATAGGTGACCTAGAACTTAAACCCCCAGAGATTTGCATGACCCCCACCTTACCAGCTTTTAAAAGAATATTAAAAACATGGCACTTCTCCCAGGCCGTGGGTTAGGGTGATTTGGGGGGCCATGTCTGCTGACAGGGGAGAGAGTTGGTTGATGTTGCCTCCAAATGATGCTATCTTTGGAGTTTTATTTTTGATGTTATTGCTTGTATATGTTAAGCTGCCCAGCTGAGTGGCTGGAGTTTGCATCCTAGAAATGTGATTACAAATAAATAAATAAGCAAGCAGGCTAGCTACCGAAGAACCAATGAATTGCTCTAATAAATTATATAAATGTATTATTCATACATTTCATTTATTCAAATGATTGTACCTAAAATAAGGTTACCTTTACAGACAATATTCAACAAGCCAAGACCAACCAAAAAAAGAAGGCAGATTGCTAAGCAACAGAATATTAGGAGTTTTGGATAATTATTCTATTTGTCTCACTGAAGAAGAGAAGAAGAATGGAGAAAAGAACATGGCATTATTTTACAGTAAATAGTTCTAATTCCCCCACATGTTGGTCATTTTGAAAAATACTGAGTATTGCAAACATTGGTGTGATCTAGCCAAATTTAAATGCTCTTATATCCTACAGATTTCAGAGAAAGAAAAAAAGGATAGGCTTACTTTTTTTCTCTGACAATTGGGAGTCTATAGGAGTGTAATTTGATCATGCTTTTCTCTTATAAATTACTAGGCACAGATGTATATATACTATAACATTAGCATTCGAGCAGCATATATTCCTCATGTGAAAATGAAGACTGTTACTAGCATCATGCTTACCCATTCGTAAAACAAGAACAGCAGGACCAGCGAGCTCAGCAAAAGCAGCAAACCATTCACTTTCATCCTTCTTTTAAAGGTGAGAAAGATCTAAAAGTTTATCTTGATTTACTTCCAGGTAAGCCAAAAGTCATGATAAGAGAACATTTAAGAAACATGATAATATTTCTTAAATATATACGAAAGAATTGACATACTTCTGCCAAATTAACAAGCTGAAAACAAGCACTGGCAATTTCTATTAACATCAAAAAAGGACACATGTAAAGATTTGCACTAAATCCAATTTTTGACGCGGTGGCGCAGCGGCTTAATGA